ATGTAAAACAATCTTTAAGTTTATGAAACAAAGCACATTTTATTTACTAAGGACACATGAAACTGAAATCAAGAACTCAGTAAAAGCTAGAAAGCAAAAAGTAACTATTGCAGGTGCTAATACATTGCATTGATTTTGCAAATGAAAATCTACCTCTAAGAAAATGGTGTCAGAATTTAGAATACTGTAGACCAGGGAAAACTTTGTCTGTCATGGACCAAAGGGTAAATATTTTAGGCTTTGCAGGCCATCTGGTCTCCATCACCACTACTTAAGTCTGCAGTTATAGTGCAAAAGCAGGCCATAGACAATATGTAAACAAATGTGTATGGCTGTGTTCCAATAAAACTTTATTTATGGACACTAAAATTTGAATTTCACATAATTTTCACAGGTCACGAAATACTCTTGATTTTTTTCAACCATTTAAAAATGTCAAAACCATTCTTACCTCATAGGCCAAACACAAAAAATAGGCAGTGGGCCAGATTAGGCTCACACTGTAGTCTGCTGACCCCTGCCTTAGACTAATAAAGCATGAGCTGTAAGAGTAAGTTGTGAACTTCAAGACACATCAAGAATGTCAGTGGATGATTCACTCCTTGTTAAAGAGCAGCTATTAAACACATCACTTATGCACTATACTTGACATGAAAGTTTACCCTGAGTTGAACAATAAGAAAACTGAACACATTCAGTTTGTGGGTCAGTCTGTAAGACTGGAATGGGCTCTTCAGAAATGTCAGTTATGAAAGACCAAAGAAAGAATAAAAGTGCAGGGTAACTGTTCAAGATTAAAAAGCCAGGAAAACTAAAAGCAATGCACGATCTTTGGATTCTGGATTAAAGCAAAAACAACTGTAAAAGGACACTATTGGGGCATTTGGAGGAATCTGAATATGTATTATCAGATATTATTGTATCAGTGCTACATTCCTGAGTGTGAGGATGGTATTGTGGACTTGCAGAATAATGCCCTACTCATAGGTGATGACTGCTGAAGCATTTACAGATTTACAATTTAATTTCTAATGGTTCACACAGAAGTGCTTGTGTGTGTGTGTGTGTGTAGAGAGATGAAATGAATGTGCTAAACTATTAACAATAAATGAATCTGAGCGATGAGTATGCAGATATCACTGTACTACTCATTCAACTCATAGGGGCCTGAATTTTTTCAAAATAAACATCAGAAAAAGAATACATAGGAAAAAAGACAGTTGTAAATTTAGTTGGTTCAAGTTAGAAAATTTTGAAATATAAGACTTAAATGGTGCTTGAAAAATTAGGCACTCATTAAAATTCTAAAATAATACCAATTTCAGTTAGAAATTAAAATAATTTGACTTATAAGAGATGGCTGAATCATTTCAGTGTGTTTTCATATTTGCATCTAATTTGTTCCCAGGAATTACAGCATTGGTAAAACCTAAGTTGGACCAAGCAAACACAACAAAATTATTGAACTCAGCGTCTCAAAAGCCCTGAAATAAAATTGTTCTCTTGTTGCATAAGATGCATATTAATTCAGTGACCAGAAATCTGAAATACAATTTTTTTCTGTAATTGAAATTTTCAAATACAAAAACCACTTCACCGCTAGTAGTCAGATCCAGATAATTCTGCATATTGTTTTTCTCACTAGATTTTTGAAAATGTAGGGAGACAGATAGGAAACAAAATAAATGAGTCATTTTTTAAAATGGAGGAATTTCTCTATTCAAGGACATGAAAGGCACTTTCACAAGAAAAACTGTAAAAACTCTTTGTAGGAAGAGACCACATTTTAGTTGCTTTTGTATCTTTAACACCAAACACAATGTCTCACACAAGTAGCCACTCAGTGAATGTTTGTTGAATGACTGAATGAATAAATGGAAGGGGGACTCTGCTTTATATGAAAACAGGTTAGGTTTGGATTTGATGTAAGGAAAAGATTCAAGATGAGTCTGGCACTGGACTGGGCCACTGAAGGAAGTAATGAATTCTTATTTATTTATTTATTTATTTATTGAAATTTACAATAATAGAATAAACATATATCTTGAATATATTTTTAGAGAAAACTTACCACTTAAATGTTCAGATATTTTTCTACATATATGAGGATGAAGACAGTTCCTCAATTTCAAGGAGTCTGTTAACATTCAGTCAGGTTGAAATGCATCTGAAAATCATGACATATGAAGGGTGGTGGAGGGAACTGAGGAACAGAAATCATAGCAGCTGGGAGAGAATGAGTAACTGGCCTCAACTATCTTCAGGGTTGCTATGAGAAAGGAGAAGAAATGTGCTGAGCAGTTCATCAGAACAGAACCAGGACTGGTGAGCAGTGTTAAAGGCAAGGGGAAGGAGGAATATGCAGATTTTAACAATCTAAGAAATAACTTTCTAACAAAGAGACACACCCAATGGAGGAGGTGGGGGGGTGGACAGCTTGCCTTAACAGATAGTGAATCACTGTCACTTAAAATGTGTAGACAGAGTTATTGTGACTGTTTCCAAGGGTGAGTTGGTGGGGGTGGGGGGTGGGTAGTGCCTACATAGGGCAAGAGATTGAGGCTATTCCATCCCTTCCAACCTGAAAAAGCATTGTTCAATAAGTCATTCTACAAATTCAGTGATAGTACTAAGTACATAATTAATAAACAAATATTTTCAATACTTCAAAGTCTTCAGTGAGCATATAACAGGTAAACAGAACATCTTGGTCAGTCTGTTCTTTGTGTTTTACCAGTAGACTTAGACTTGGCATTATTAGTTAGTACCCTAGGAAAATTTAGGTTGTCTCAGTGTATAAAATAATACCAGTACCTAAACAGAGATCCCAATTCTCTCAGGTGTTTCAAAGACGCTAGTGCTTGTTCCTCCCTCCAGACTGGGCCACCATGTCAGTGCGCTCTGTTATCATCTCAAGCCTAATTTATATCTACAGCTGCTTCCTAATGAGTCATTTGTCTCTAATCTCTGCCCGCTGTGGTCATTTTGAATACTCCAGCTAGATGTCTGCCTAAAACCTCTTTTGAACCAATTACTACCCATTAAAAAGTCTAGAATGATTTATCAATTTAGAAATACATATGGAAAATATTACAGGGGGCATCACAATATAAATAGTTATTAAATGGTAGAATTATAGACTAGTATTTTAAAGTGTTCTTGGTGTGGTACTATTAAAGTTCTAATAATAAAATCAGGTGCAAAACAAAGACTCTACAAAGTTTCTTTACTACCTAGCATATTACATACAAAAACTCCAACTTAATTTTTTTAAAAGACCCTTCATTAAGTCTCTCACTTTACCTTTTCTTCTACTATCCCTGCAATAAAGCTTCACTACTTTCTCTTGTCTGACTTTTCGTTCCTTTCTAACACTTTCCTTTCTCCTTGTCCCTCACTGCTGCTTCTGTCTTTGTGCCTCCTTCACCACTCTGCTCTCTTCCTCACCTGTGGGACAACTCCTGAATCTCACGGTGTGTTCCTCGTCCATAATGTCGGTAAGTCGCCTGAGGGCAGGGCTTTTTTCACCACTGCATCCCCCGCATGTAGAACAGTGCCTTGCAGATAAAAGATAATGAATTATCAGTTGAATGAGTGATTGTCATTCCTGTGACTATAGGAATCCACAACATTTCTTTTTGAAATTCGATGTAAATTGATTATATATTATGTATGGTTTTATATTGCATTACATCTTTTTTTCTAATTGTTTATACGTGTTTTAGTGTCGTTTTCTCAAAATGAAAAGATAGCTGTCATCCATATTACCAAATTCAATACTTTGATTCAGCAGATTTTTATTGAGTACCTACTATGTGTCAAGCACTTTAGTAGGCATAGTACTACATTTAACAAGAGCAGTAAAGACCAACATGGACTATTTTCTAGCTAATTTCCTTACACAAAATAAATACACCTTAAATCTATTGTCTAAATCAAAAAATAATCAACTTTTATACTTTTCTACCATCTTTCTATCAAACCCATTTTAAAGAATTATATAAAATAAATATAAGATATATTAGGTATATATATACCTGAAACCCCACACTAAACCATTAATGATCAGTAGATAAAAAAATCTAGGATAAATTTTTATTGGTTTAGGGCAACTGGCATTTAATCATTTGTGTTCCAAGATCTTTATAGCGATCAGAAAGATTTTGAAAATTGTGAAAGCTTCACATGTAGTTTAAGTAATTTTTAAGTCTTTTATGCAATACGGATATTTTGGAAACTGCTACATGGTTACATTTTTCCAGAACCAGATGCAATAGTATGGCAAAGAACACAGGTAGAAGAGATCACTAATTTTCCTTTTCCCCCAATAAACTATGTTTATTATTCCAATTTTAATTACCATGCAATCTAATGGATTTAAGGCTTATATTTTCCACATCACTAGACATCACAAACATGAAAGCATTTTATACTGTCATTATACATCAATGTTTGTACTTGGTTATACATATATACAGAAATTATTCACACATCTTAACCTTGCTATTTCCTCCTCTCAAACCAACATAATTTTACCATGAAAGCAGCTTTTTAATAAATGGTATAAGAAATACAGCAAGGCACACTTTTTTAAAAAACTTTTTTCTCATTACCACCTCAAGAAGCATAAAAAACGAAAATGTTGTACATAATTTAATAGGAGAATGTCACCAGTTTATAATATACAACACCCTATAGTTGTTTCCTGAAGTGCTGCATAGATTATTTTTCAAATGAAATAAATAAAATGGTGCTTTTAAAAGTTGCTTAACTTTGAAAGAAGGACCAGTGTTTCTTCTCTATGCTGCAATAAAATCAAATGTTGGCCTTTTAGGTAAACCTCTTTCCACAAACATAGGCATCGTACCATTAAAAAAAAATCCAGATTGAAACATGAAATTGGTCAGTAGGGGGGGCATTCCAGACAGGTGAATTTAGTGGACCATCAATTTGGTGAACTGCAGAACATTAAAGAGTAGATGGGGAGGGGAGAAGGCAAACTGAAAGTCTCGCCAGAGAGATGGGGTTGGTAGAGGTAGCTTGGGACAGGAATCCACGGGAGAACAAGCAGCTTTGCTGAACTTCAAAGACAATCACCTAAAGAGAACCAGCGCACACATCCAGATCACAAGGCTCATGTGGACAACCGCATTCAGAAGAAAGACTCATCTTGGGAGAGGTCAATGTAACAAACGGCAGTGACAGGATGGAACCAGAGACCAGCCCAGGGCAGAAGGATGAGGCCACCCCTGAGTTGCAGCCAGGCTAATCTACAAGAAACAAAAAAAGGGACAGAAAAGTTTTCAGAAAGGTCTGTTTCATTTGCAAAACCAAACCCCTTTGAGGAACCAATGAAGTCTGCCATTTTAGAACTACCTGCTAATGTTCTAAAAGAAGAGGATGAAATATAGTGATTTTAATAGCCCAAATGTTTCAGAATCAGTGTGAAAAACATTGATTTTTTTTTAAAGACATGGGTTTAAAGAAAACAAGAAAACTCATTGTTTGACCTTTGCTCTGGATCTCATCTACTCTTTTTCTTGTGAGCTAAGCTTGAAACACTCAAGATAGCCTCAAATCAGCATGAAAATGTAAGGCTGCCAATGCCAAGTAATGCAGCAAGGTAGCAACAATGATTCACAAACTGGTAGCCTTGGCCCTGAGGTTTAACCCTTCCTTCAATGATGTATGTGTGACAGCGGAATTCCAATATTATATAATGGTGAAATATTCATAACGAGATAATCCCAAAAATGCTTCAGCTCTTTGCCTATAAAAGGATACAACTAGGACTTCTAGCTCAAATATGAATGCATTTCATTTAAAGTACAGACAGCATTGTGCAAATGAGAATGATTTAATTACTTCTGTTCTTCTGATGGCTCAGATAGCAAATTTGTTAGACTCAATTGGTTCTTTGTATTTCTAAGTAGCTAAAACCAACCTGTTGAGTGTAAGGAAACAATTAAATTCCAGGTTTAGGCAATATAGGATGCAATTACTTTAGGTCCTCTGACCAGCTCTGAAATAAAGCAGCCTTTTGCTTGTCAGGGTTTAAACTGAGTTCTGAAGTCTGATGCCAGGTTGCTTTATTGTTCGTCTAGAACTAAATATTCTCATTCTTTCTGTCTTGCTCTCTCTTTCTCTTTAATCTTGCAACCTGTTTAAGAATCAGAAAGACTTTAGCAAATGTGGTTTGGCTGGAGCCACAGGATGCTGGGGAAAGAAGGCAAGTTATCAAGAACAGGGAGAGACAGACAGGAACAGATGGGACGGAATTTGGTACAGTAAAATAATGCAGTAACCCAAGAAAGAGCTTGGTGCATTGTTCAAATGCTGAGGACATGACTCATTTGAAATATGGCCACCGAGTAGGGAATCCTTAGGTGAGGCAAATCTGGTCTTATCAAATGCTGGAATTTAAATTCCTCTGGATAATCAATTCTTTCAACTTAGCCCACATGGAAAGCGGCAGGCCAAACTGGCTGAGATACAGATCTGAGTGTGTGTATGTGTGTGATGGGTGATAAAATTTTTTTTATTTAGCATGGCAGGGCTAGTTATTCAGACATGCTAGACAATTCAAAAACACTTCACATCCACCAGAACCTTGATTTATGAAATTGATTTTAAAGGTAAATAAGATAAGATTACACTTATGTTTTTTAGTGAAAAATTAATCCACTATCACCAAGAGTAGTTTCTTAAACCTGCTTGGTCAGCTTTGGGTCATATTAAAGACTTAATGTCAACCAATTAACAGTAAGAATTTGTGTTGTGTACATGAGAAAAGTTTGCTTTTACAGCTTTCTCAGTTTAGAAAGACTGAGCAGCAGCACTTTTTACTGTATGTGTGTATACGTGAGCATGCACAAATACAAGCAATTGCCTAAAATCTAAAATTTATGGGCCACCAGCTATTTACATATCAATAAAGTAGCAACGGCAAAACAGCTAAAAGGTTCTGAAGGAAATATATACACCCAAAGTAAATACAGCACATGCATGCACGCTGCGCACACATAAATACACACACACGCACACACACACACACACACACTAGCATAACACTGAAAACCAGAGCAGACCAAAAGGGAAAAAAAAGTATATGCTGGCTGCATGTGATGAGTTAAATTTTTATACTACAGGATTTATCCCTCCAGCCTGAAGTTTAGGGTTAAACCATTCACCAAAGATCAGAGGCTTGTGATGAGGATTATGAAGAAATAACTGTCAGAATACAGCAAAAAGATTAGTGCAAAGTACATCTCTTAGGCAGGTCCTAGGAGGCTCTCCAGATATACATTATACGCTTCCTCTAAATTAGGCAAAAGTATCTGGATCCACCCAGTTGATGTGATTTGCTGTAACTGACCTATTTTTTATAGAAACATGACACAAAAATGAAAATAATGAATCGCACAGAAGTGTACCTGACAATTGGTACAAATGCATACTGCGTTAGATCGTGTGAAAACTTCTCAGTTTCAGTGGGTTTTTAATTAGAACACAGTAAATAAAAAACCTGTTCCAAAAATCTTAAAAAAAATGCTTGTTACTGTTGCAGACTGTATCTGCTATTCTAAGTGATAGTTCCTCTAGAAGGCATTACAATAATGTTATCATCTGAGAACTTATTTCTGGGAAAAAAAAGCACATTGAATTTTGTGAATTTTATTCTCCTGATTAAAAAGCACCCTAACTTATGGTTTTCAAATGGCTTAAGAAAGCAGAGCTTTTTCTTTTGCTTCTTTGAATCTTATAGGAAGAACAATGACAGGAAGTAAGCTTTTACAGACATGAAACTTCATAATTACCAAACAATCTTGCTATGTGTTCCTGACATTTAACACTGAAGGTGTGTCAAGATTTTGAAGTTAAATAACTTGTCATTGTTGGTAATATTTTAATATGTATACCCAGGTAATCTGATGCTAATGACGGGTGAAAAGTTTAGGCATCCAAATATTCTGTCTGCATGATACCGAAAAAACTGAATAGGCCCGGTAAATATGGCTACTTAAATGGCCTTAGGCTGACAACAAGTCACTTGGGGGCGATGTGAGTTCTGCAGAAGTAAAATCTGGCTGCTTCTCCCATTGCCTGAGACAGGGCCAGGCATCGAACCACAGGGTTTCCACCAAATATTGCTAACTGGCAGGTAGGCTAGCTGATAGTTTTACACTGTCCCTGCCCGTAAGATGTAAGCTCTGCACAGGCCCATCAGCACATTCCCTACCCCGCGTCTACAGATGGAGCGGAGTATCATTACATTTCATTTTTGTTCTCTATCTGCGTAAGGGAGAGGAAAAATCCCCGGAGCATCAAAAAGGGAGGTATGCACCCCAGAGGCTTCTCCAGACCGGATCTCGGCACGACTGGTGAGGGTCACAGTCATGTGATGTCATGCTCAGAGCTGCTTTCAAGCCTTTATCCCCTTTCAGAAAACAGAAATCAGCCAGGCTCTCCGGCCCTTCTGTGGAGGTTGGCAGAGCCAGCAGTACAATTGGTTCTAATAGAACTTGTTTTGAAGCAGCTTATGGAATTGCAGCTACTCTCCCTTAATGGTCAGTTTTACTGCATACTGATAGAGAGTATGATTACAGGCTGGACATGTTTCACAGAAAATACATTTCTCTCTCTCCTACTTTTGTTCTCACTTGCAGCCAATTGTAAATAGGGTCTGAAAGATAGAAAATTAGGTGAGCTATATTAGTAAGTAGGATGCTTTTCTTCAATTTTGCATACTGAGTTTATTTTTAGGGTATATATGGTATAGATTCCCCCCTCACTCCCCATTTCAAGCAGCTCTACAGAGAATCACACATTTTAATGAGCTTAGGGCACAGGTGTTGCAGGAAAAAAATAATGATGTTTGCCATTCATCTTTCAAATTAAATAATGTGTTTTTAAATAGTAACTTTTTTCATAATACATTATGGGAACAACATTTCTCTGTCACATTTTAAAAGATGTATTTGTAATAAATGTAAATTACTTTTAGAAAATCAGTAATTAGGCTCATCAAAAAATAAACAATCTGCCACAAAAAAGATAATCTTTAGCATAGTTAAGTATAATAACTGTTATTTGAATAAGTTAACAAATTAGGGTAGATTGCTTCTGTAATTCATTTCCTATAGCACGAGTTTAGGTTACTGCATTAAGCTTCTGGAGTGGGGGGTGGAGATGGCATTCGGCACCTCATACTTTGGTGAACTACAACTCCCACATCCAAAAACTCAAAAATTTTCTTCTTTACACTTGAAATATTTCATCACTGGGGCTTAGAAATGGGAAATAACAGAATTTTCGTGTCACTTTTAGAGCTGAAACGTCAAATCAGAATTATCAATCAATAGCTGTCTTATTAAAAACAAATTGTAGAATGACTTTCTTTAAAAAACTGGATGGAAATCAGCCTGTCACCTTCAGGCAAAATTCAAAAATCCTGTTTTTATCCAAATGCCATTAACTTGTCATGTATTCTCTCTGCATTTGCTGTCTGGGGCTGTTCTCAGTCTCTGTGTGGATAAATAGGAGCCTCTGCTCTAATATCAACTTTCCCCTCCTGTTTGAATCCTCAGACTTGGTCATGATTAGGGGCTGTGACAGCACAGCCTTCCACCGGGGAAGCAAACGTGATGATAGTTACATTAGACAGAAGCGTAAAAGGAAAGCCCAGATCAGGAGACTCAGCCTTTAACCTAATCACGGATCATCTCCAGGCACTGAGGGGAGCGGGCAGCTCTGTGAGCAGAAAACTGAAGTGGGCAGCACTGTCGTGGTGCATGCACTTTGATCAGAGGGTGTAATTGCAATTTGGAGAACCTTTTTCCCTCCCTCAATGGAAGAATTTCAGGCCCTACATTATTCTTCCTCAAATTTTATATTCTTCTTGCCATGATGATGTAATTAAGATGTTACTAAAATGTGACTTTTTTCCTCCCTTTGCTTCACAGTTACTTGCATTGGTGGGAGTATTTTTCTCCATCTAAATGTCTTACTCAGGTAAATATCTGCCGTGATCAACTATCCTGACTAGTCTTTTCTCCAATCATAGCTCTGTTAACTAAAACTCATATTTTAAGTATATATATAAAATACACATTAACATATATTAAATATATATTAAAACATGAGGACTATACATACCTTTCAATGAGATGATTTTCATGCTTGGAGAGGGTTACATTCTACCTATGCATATTTCTATGTCGTTCTTCATGAAGGTTTAGAAGATTTTCTTCACAGGTTACAGTTTGGGGGTTGGGATGCAATGCAGCCTTGTCTTTTGGCTGCTTTGCCTTCGAGGAGAGTCCTGGAATTCTAGATTTGGCTGAAGCAGCATTGTGTTCTTCTGTCATTCCAGACTCACCCAGGTTTCCTGAACTCTCCTTTTCATTGCCTGGCCTTGAAGGAGTAGTTAACTCTGAGCTTTCTCCACAGGCGTCAGAAGCTTGGGGTAAACTATCTACTTCCTTTCTTCCAACATCACATTCTTTGGCAGGGGGAGGGCTTGAACGAGCCACCATGTCTGCATCATTAGCTAAGAGTGAAATATCACTGAAGTTGGAAGAGCCTGCCGCTGCTTGGCGTGGCCCTGGAGCTCCAGGAAGTGCAGGGTCATCTGGAGGAGTACTGGAGAAAAAGGGCTTGTCTTCAGCAGGGTCCTCCTCAACACAGGCCTCAAAGAAGCATTCGGGGTCTTCCTTGTCTTCTGAGCCAGAGTCAGTAATGTCCGGTGGCAACGGAGTGTTGCTCTTCTCTTCGATGTAACTGGTGACCTCCCCACAATCGCTGTCATGAGACGAGAGAGATAAGTAAGAATAAAAGTCGCCTTTTCTCAGTTGGATGGGCCGGTGAGAATGTTCCAACACCTTCTCCTTGATTTGAGTTAATGAAGTGGGAGCAGCCACCTCATTTTCAGGTTGAGATTTACATTTTAGGGCTGTTGAAGCCATGTCGATGATTTCCTTAACAAAGTCGTGTACTGAACAATCTTCGGCATCTTTCGGATGGAAAACATCTGGCTCACAGTCGCAACAAGAAATGCTGTCACTAATAGAAACATTTTCCTCGGCTTCATTTTGTTCAAGGGCTAGGCAGAAACCAGTAGATTTTCCAGCCATATCTGATGCATTGTTAGATGGAGATTTCAGTACATCAGAGTCCTGTCTGTTAATAACTTCTGAAGGCAGTTCTGGGCAAGACTTCTCAGTGGGAGTAGAAGCAGCACTTTGATTTTCAAAATGGTGGTGGTCTTGACATTTCTTTGGAAGATGTCTAACAGTCTGGGGAACAAATTCCTTTCCAGCAATATTTGAATCACCTGAGCTATCCATAAATGCTTTGCACTTACAATGCTCACTCTCTGAAATCCTTTCCCCAGTTGAACCAAGATTTTCACGTTCCTTTGCAATCTCATTCAGTTTGTCCTTCTGCCTTTCTGGCGCACTTTCAATATTGCCATTTTCCATGTCTGCCGCATAAGGGTCTTTATTCACTCTGAAAATATTTTTCTTATTTTCACCCTTTGTCCCTAACTCATGGGTGTGGGATAAATTCTTCCCATTTCCGTTATTTTCAGAGAGACGTTTTATGGAGCCATTTAGAAGGGCTTCAATGTTCAGGGTATCAGAGGAGTTGGTCATCTCACTACTACTTACATCCTTACTGCCTTTTATTTCATCACTGAGATTACATCTTCTCTTATCTCTTGTCAAGGAAAACTTTGGTCTAATCCAGGTCTGCAGTTCATTCTTTATGTAGTCCAGCCCTGACATCAAGTTGCATTCTTCATAAATTTCATCATCTGTTGCAATACTGGAGTCATCATCCTCATCTTTGATGCATAGCTCTTCTTCTGTCAAGGTGAGGGTAGAGCTGGAGAGGAGGTCACTGTCGTCTTCATCATCAGTGCAAGCGGAGGTGCAGGAGACATTAACGATCATGCTGACATTGACATCACTTTCATCGGCCACCGAACGTGTCAGGCGCTTCCTGAATGATGCATTCGATTCCGGGATCTTGCTCTTGTGTAACACAATATCTTCTGAGCAAAGAGAGAGCTCATCACTGCTGCTAAGTTCTGTGAGAGATGCTGGCGAATCTTCATTAATAGAAGATGCTATGTCCAATGACAGCTGGCCAGTAAAGGCCATCTTTTGGGAACTGCTTTGAAGAGTGATATCGGAAACACTTCGCTTTATCTTCTGCTCCGACGGGCTCTGGATATTCTCCAAACGATTCAGGAGATCTAATGTTCTTTTACTCAGTTCACCAACTGAGCCACTGCTCACGCTTATGTCCCCAGAGCTGTGACAGCTAAAAAGATCTTCATTGCTTTTATAGGATGTCAACCAACTTTCTAAAGAAGTGCTTCTCTGGAGGCTGTCACTGCCGTTTTTAAAGATGCCCAATCCAAATAAATCACCCCCTGGAGAAAGGGACTCAATAGACGAACTATGAGGTAAAAGAGAGAGCTGTCTGGCACTCTGCACGCCACTGAATGTCTTCTCTACATCACCACTTTTATATGAATTTCGATCCATTTCATGGGACGCACTTGCCAAAATCCTTTCATGGGAAGGGGCATCTGGTTGTAACTCTGTAGCCTGGTGTTTAGATTTGCAGGATTTTTTATCAAAATAAAAACCATGGAGCAGGGGATCCTCCACATGTGCTTTTTCACTTTGTGACTGTTTCATTATCATTGGTAATTTGAGTTTTGAGCCTTGAAGGTAAGAGTAATCATAAAATGTAAACACATCATGTTTTCCTTGTAATTCTTCTCCCAAACAATCAGGGGTATGTCTGGTAACACTGTTTAAATCTCCAACTTTTCCATTTACACAACCCACTGTTGAAATGGATAACTGAGAGCTCTTGGGAAGCTTAATGCGTTCCTCCTCATCTTTAAATTTCTGCTTTAACACGTTAACTGCATCTCCTGTTTGTGGGTCCAGATGTTCAGTTTCAGGGTTACTCGGGGACTCACCCACCACATTGAGCAAGCACATTTCAGAGTTTGTGGTGGTTTCAGTGTCTCCTTCACTGACAATTCCACTCTCACTGCCTGAATTTTGGCCCATATCTCCTCCGTGGCATGGGCAGGGCTTTACCAAACTGGTACCCCCTAGAAGATCCGGCAAAGATTTGGTAGATGAAAATGAAGAGTCTTTACTGAGACTCTTCGTTAAAACATTAGGCTGTGTCATGCCAGAGAAATTTGGACTGTTTATCAGGAAAGGGATGTGGTTGTCTTCATAGAGTTCAACATTGTGGAGGCTGTACACCTGGTAGATGTGTGGACTGGAGGGAGCAGTAATACTTGATGCATACTGAGATGCCCCCTGGTCGCCTGCCTCTTCTTCATAACCAGGGTCCTCACTACCTGCCTCTTCAAGCTTTAAGGAAGGTTGGGATTCTTGCTCAAGGTCATTTGGTTCTTCATTCAAACTAATTAACTTGTTGCTTATGTCAGTTTCATCCCATTCCAGGGCATCCTCACTTGTCCCGTTTAGGTCCATCAAGCCAGGATCAATCACATTCAAAGTCTCCTGTGTAGAAGAAGGGAAAAAAAAAAAAGAATTAGGGAACACAAGCATGAAATTTTTATCCATTCAAAATCTCTTGGAAGAGTCAGGAAAGAAATTTGCCCCAAGCATGAATTTGAAAGACAGCATAATTACCAGCTCTATGCCTCTCTGGAATAACATCCCAAATTATTGAAATAGGCTTTTCTATCAATAGTAATTTGTCACTGAGGGTAATAACATAGATTAAAATGTAAGATTATTACAGTCAAATTGTTATTTATGGAATTAACCATTTCCTACTGATTCATCTGCAATTTTAACCCTGAAGATAAAACTGCCAGGCAAATAAAGGTAAAAAGAGTATATAGCCTAAGACATCGTTTAGGTACATTCATCCTGATACTCTTTTAGTTCTGGAGTCATGATGGAGTGCTATCTGCAGCCATATATGGCGAACCCCTTCTTGCTTCTCTTCCCGGGTTCTCCACTTGAAGCAACTTCTGCCTGGGAAAATGGAAGAGAGCTGTAGCTATCTGTAAAGCCATTCACGGGCCAGAGGCTCTCAAATGTCTATTTTTCCCTCCGCCTTCCCTTTCAGGGTTCCTCCTCTTCAGAATTTGGCCCTGTTCCCAGACAGACCCCAAGATGAGCAACATTTGACTGGTTTCTTCACCTGCGCCTTGCTGGACCTTGAGTTTTGGGCCCCAGTGCTGCAGGGCAGCCTCTTAATTACAGTTCTTTCAGTCCCTCTCTTCTTCAGTCTCTTGCTATGAGAGAGGTTGCACTTTGATCCTTGTTAACTTGTCTCACTATTGCCAGTCCTGCCCCGATTTCTTACAAGCAGGAACCTCCCCCTGCTACCCACCTCCAGCCCTAGAATAACAATGATCTGAAAACTGTCTGACTCTAAGGATGAAGGAGCCCAGATTCTCTTATGCTGCTTTCTGCCTGCACAGCTGTGACCTTGGTCTTTCCCTGGACTTCCTGGTTTTTCCCCTAGAGCTTGATGCATTCTAGGACGTTGGGACATAGAAGCTGAATGGGCTCCCAGACTCTGTTCATATTCCTCCAGCATCCTCACTTGCTGGCCAGCTGTCTAGATTCAAACTGGAGCCAAGAGAGGTGATACAGGTACTGCAGGCCCTGACGGGCACACCTGCAAACAGAAACTCAAACAGAACTTTGCAGTTGAGCGTATGCTTACACAGGGTAGCCAGGCAGATGAGCGGGTGAGCGTGGCTCTGGAACTACGCAGAGTGGCTGAAGCGCTGACTTAGCTGCTAAGCAGCTGCGTGGCCTTGGGCAAGTTGCTTAACCTTTCTGAGCACTAGTCTCTTCACATCACTTTTTAAAGGGGTCAAGCACTTTCTATCTTTGGAGATAATTTTGAGTACTGAGTGAGCTAATGCTTGGGAAGGGCTGAGGAGGCAGTCAGTATGAAGTAGCTATAATTCTCAATGCATGTAGAATCGCTCTAGAGTGGCTTTGAGTTCATTCACAAAGGGTTCTCCCTGCGTACCTCATTCTCTCCTTCTTATCATTCCTTTCCATTTGCTCTTAAAATCACGAGGGATTCATGACACAGTAGGTAAAAAGAGGTGTCCTACAGTGTTAACAGGTCAGCATATTTGCATTACAATTCAGAATTATTTTAACAGCCTGGTGGAAAAACAGGCCACAATGCTTTTATTCCTCAGTAGTGGGAAAACAGCTTCTCCAGCAGTGTATTAGCAGAACTTTCCTAAGAAGCCCTCAGTCCTTCCTGAAACTAAGAGTTGAAGGATACCACACAAACACATTAAGTATAAAACACCCATTAGCACTTTATTATCCTGGGTATGTAAGAGATTATCTGCATAGCCTACTTAAGTTTAAAAGAGTCCAGTTACAAAGTAAACATTAATTAAGGGATATTTTTAAATTTTATAACAGAAGTCTTTCCTGCCAATGTTACATCAGTTAATCTTGTACCCCGGCAGTCACCACACTCACTTAGGTTTGGAGTACATTCACTGTGATGAATTTTTATTAGAATTTCTGTTTATTCTTTGCTTGCTGATAAAGGAAGTACTAATGACCAGTTAGCATGGCTAATGAATGTTCAAATCTTTAGCTGCAGAAACAATCAATCAGTCTCATCAAATAGTATATTAATTTCAAATATGATCTTGGCTGGCACTGTACTCTGAGAATGCTAATAAATAATTGAACTAGTCTTTCAAAGGAGCTGTCTTTATGACTCTCTGGTTGACTTTAACATTTAGCAGCACAGATTTTTTGCTGAGAGTCCCAAACCCGGGTGCTCACACCGGATGCAGGAGCTGTGCCATCTGGATGTGTGCCGGGAGCTTAGCCTGAGTGACGCCAGTAACTGGGACTGGCCTTCCAGGACACAGTTGTTTTCTGACCAAATGCCACCTTTACAGCTTTACAAACACAAGCCTAAGAAAGTAAAAAACTTGCAGCAGCATCTAAAAGAACAAATCCTTTCCTCAGTAAAGTGGTTGGAGTGAAAAGTTTTCGTAGGAAAAGATTAAACTTTTGTGTGTAATGCTGTCGTCTTCCCTTCTTAATTCTGTCTTCCTCTAAATCTCTTTAACTTATTTTAATTTCTAAAAAAAAAAAGAAAAACATTTATGTCAACTCCAGGGAATCTGTGACAAGATCCATTAGAAAATCACTCACTTTAGATTTTTCATTTTACCTATTAAAGAAGTGCTATCACTCTGCCCTCATTCACTCCTTTCTGATGTGAGTTACATTCTGTCAATATTTTCAATAAAATCTCCACTTCTTCAAGATTTTATCTCAAACATAAAACATACCCTGAGGCCAAAAAAGTAGGGAAAGTTTCCAAGAGGAAGGACATTGGAATATGTATATAACTAAAAAGTTGTCTTTGAAAAAAAAAAGGTATATATTTAGAGTGATGTAATTGGTAGGAAAGTTATTTGGCCGAATGCTCTCTTTGATGGTAGCCCAATATAGCCAATAATCCTCATGCTAATTAAGCATTCTTTTCGTTGTTGTTTTTCTAGAGGACCTGTCTTGTACTTTTTAAAAAGTCACAAATGTTCCTATTTTTGAAAAAGTGATAAATCAAACATGGATTTAGGAAAACAAATCTAAGAATATTTGACCAAAACCAAAAGGATGGTGAGTAGCACATGAGGGCCCAATAGAGTCTGCCGTTCCAGAGATAATTCTGAATTAAATTTACTAGTGGAAGGATCTTTCAGTTTCAAACTTGCTTCACTGGTGCCAAATTTTGGCCTAAACCAAGGACTCTATATAAATAATTACAACACACACACACACAAACACACACACACACACACACCTTTACAGGTCTGCTCAAGAAACAAGTGGAATTAATTGGTGTTATTTTATTTTTGTTCTTGGAGGCAGGTTATTTATATTAGTGCAATATATACAGAGAAACTAACTAACAGTGGCTAGACAAATAATGATGATGAAAGGACCAAGATTCCAACTGCAGCAAGTAATACATGTCCACATTCGCTTCCTTCTGTACTTGGATAGCTTTCATTGAGCTAAGTCTCCCAGAATTGCATTTCTGGGATTTTCTTAAAATTTTAGGTTAAATGGTAGGTTTTATAAGAGATGAAAAACACCATCAGCTAAAGAGTGGAGATAACAGAACCTGACGTTCTATAAAACAACAACCCAACAGAGATCTGATATAGCTGCCTCTGGATTCCTTTAATTTCCTTTAAAAAGTTGCAACTTTTGAAAAACTAAAGTAGGATGACTAGGATGAACTGAATGGTCCAGTCAGTGCTCAGAGTGACCGAAACCATTAGGAGGTCCTATAATTTGTGTCCCTTTTTTATTCTAGATACAGGAGTTTATTGAGCAACACCATTTGAAAAGCCCTGGGAGAAGAGATTTGTGGACAAGCAGGAGCCAACAAAAACATACAAATAAATAAAAATAACAGAAACAAAAAGAGCAGTAACTACAACTGAATAAAGATATGCGTATTACCCTAGGGCAAAAAAGTAGATAGAACACGGGGAAGTCTGAGGGAACAATGGACAGGAGGGAGAGAAAAGCAGATTGATCAGGGTGAGGGAATCAATTTCAACAAGGGGAAATTCGACTCTATATATTCACTCTGCTTTTTTGATGCGCTATTTTCCCTAGCAACCCTCTCTAAATGCAAAAACCAAAGTCCCTGATAATTAGCTGTAGAATTATTTGCCTAAATTAGACTTGGGTAGCAGTTTTTAAAAAACAACATCAACAACCATAAGAAACAGCTAGTCCTCAGAAAAATGGAAAGATACCTTCTATGAGAATTCAGAGTTTGTAGTACTCTGCCTCTTGCTGGGAAGAGAACAGATTCAGAGTTAGCAAGGAAAAATACAGATAAAAAACAAAATGGGATAAAAAGCAAAAAATGTCCATTGTTTATCAAGATTTGGGGATTTGGGACAGAAACACAAGCAGATCTGGGTTTGAATCCTGGACTCCCCACACCCTCACATGTTAGTGGTATGATCCTGGGCAAGTTATTTAACATCGAAGTGCCTCAGTCCCACCATTTATATATTCAAGATAATCAGAGACAGACATTGTGTCTGCCTTAGAGGCTGTTGGGAGCTCTATATGATAAAATGTATGGGAAGGCCTATGGGGAGAGCCTGGCACAAAGCAGGGGTACAGGGACTGCAGCGATCAGCACTTTTGCCTGTGCTGAAGAGAGAGGAGGATAGGGCAGCTGCCTGTTAAATAACCTTAACAGTGTTTGCAATAAGACTGGTGGTCGGTTGACTACTCTCTTTAGTACAGCCACATGCATGGAATCCAATGAAATAAACATCAGTTAGGCCCTCACCCCCACTGCCCTGTAAGTGGGGTGTGGGTTTGTCTTTGCCTGTCCCGACTGGACTTCTCCCGCAGGAATAACTAGAAGAGGAAAGACGCCTGCCCAGCCCTCAGCAAAGCCTAGATAGAGCTCAAGGACTTTCTATTTCCTGAAAATAATCTCTTTTTTT